ATAATCAATACACCCAGAAACCTAAACAATTATTTTATCTTTTGTTCCTCATTTAATTGTTACAAATAAAAATAATTTTAAGAACATTTTTTAGTGAAAAATACAAAGTTAATAATGAAATATATAAATAATTTTAAAAATTTTTCTCAGGTATGGAATTTAAAAAAATATTGATAAAAAACCATTGTTACATTTTATTATTCAGAAAGGTAGTTTAAATATTTTGTAGTCCCTCAAAATATTTCTCCTGGAGGAAACACTCTTTTTAAACTTAGGTTAATGCGGCCCTGCCTTACACTGGTGGTTTTCCGTGCGCTATAGGCTTGCTTGATGAGTGGTTGGTGGTATATGGCGCCGAGATAATTTTTGCAGTCAACAATAATTGGTGTCTGAGTATATAATTTACTGTAAGAGTTTAATAAAATCGAATAGAACACTGTATTCATAGTCATTGGGTATAGAATATTATTAATTTCAATTGCCCATACAATTATAAATTATTCTTTAAGCTATTAAAGGTTTATTCTTRCCGCCCAATCCGGTTCTGCTGCCCTGTCGGAAGGACTCAAATGTTTACAACCACTGGCCTGTGGTCTGGGTTTTTTTTGTGTGATATTAGCGACCATTGCGTACTTATTGTGYACTCGTATACATCTACTGCCATTGTTCACGCGATATAGGAATGGGACGACTCGCAGGTAAAATAAAATGGTTTCCTGTCAAGAGTAACGTACCCACGCGGGCCCCCTATATTGTCTGACATACATTTTTTCTCAATAATAAATATTCAATCATTATAATAATTAATGACCCTGGTATTTAATGTATTTATAAATAATGCACTTTCTGTTGATGCAAGTAGTTTAGAAGTAGGTATTTGAAAATCAAAATCAAAAATGACTTACTTATTGCTTCCGTTTGTGTTTTATTTTTAAATATAATCTATTCGCACATAAATGCAATTGAAGCGTCCGTCTGCCTGTCTGACCTAATCTCTGAAACGGTTGAACCAATTTATAWACAACTTTCTCTATAGGATAAAGTATTTTCCCAATCATAATATAAAGTGCTTTTTATCCCAAAATGTAGTCAAATAAAATTCAAAAACTAAGACTTAAACATAAGTAAATATWACGATACTAATACAATATTATTATAATTRTTCATATTATTTAAAAAATTGATAGATTCCCAATATTCAGCTATAGACAGAAGGGCTTTTTTTTAAATACAACCCACTGATGTATTAAATATTTAAGTTGAATTTGAAACTCCAGCATGTACCAGACATTTTGAATAAATCAATAATATGTTATGGAATAAAGAAACTATAACAACGTTAACTTGGGTTAAAATTGAATATTTTTAGAAAAAAGTAAAATATTAGTACTATATTTACTTTATAATCGATGTATCCAATTTTATCATTAATGACGTTTTATATTTAAAAACGTATATCGAGACCTAAACTGGTAATATACTAATATTTCAGTATAAACGATACCAGAAAACAGAAAGTTAATAATACGTTTATTAATTATGATCTGTTATTTCGTATATTTTTAATCTTATTTTACGATAATAATGTTAAATAATGGACTGATTATAGGTTTACTTTAATTGTCTATCATACCATCTATTTTTAAACACCATCTTATTTATTTTTGCCCCATTATGAACATATTATGGTCCAGTGCGCTCTAGTTTCTTTATCGCGTTGGTATTAATATTTTATTAACTTCCAAGCRTAGAACATAATAGAAGCGACAACTTTAAAAATACCATCGTTCGCTGAAAAGTATTTTAGTTGACCTTTATTTCACTGTTATGAAACTGCATTACGATGCACTGCAAAAAAAAAAAAAAAACGTTCATTGCAACGTACATTATTGTGTTGATGATGCACTGCAGAATACTTTTGATAATTGTTGATATAACCCYATGACGTTATAGCGGCCCTTCGCTATTTTGTCGTCTATTAGCCAAACATATTACTCGTTTTCACGTCGCCATTGTCTCGTTTCGTATTTTTTATGTCCAGTCCATCGATTACGCGGACGGCGGCGACGAGAGCAGCTGCCCGGCGAGTTCCAACAACTACACCACCCAGTTCGACTACAGCTCGTCGTACGCCAACGACTCGGCCGGTCCGACCAAGAGACCTTCGTCGTCGTCATCGGTGGCGGACGAAGCGCCGCCCGCCAAGAGGCTGATGTACGAGCGACAGCAGTCGTCCGCCGAGCTGTTCTCCAGGTACATCGCCACCTCGCTGGAAGCACTGCCCCCGCGGCTGTCGGTGCGCGCTCAAAAGGAAGTGCACGACGTCCTGATCAAGTACAAGTTCATGGAACTCGACCAACTGGACCAACAGCGATGACGCCAACAGTCCCCCACAAGTCCGTCGTTAGGTATACGCCGCTTAGAAATGAAATCGTCCCGAAAGGTATACCTGGGTGTGCACAATTTGTGTGTGTGCGTGTGTGTTTTCCCGCCGACCGSCAATCAACGACGGATCGTCGATTTTCCTCGATTTAACGATAATATTAAACCATACGTAATTTTCGTCCCCGCGGACGTTTCGCGCGAATTATGTTAATACAATATAAAAAGATAAACCTTCTTAAACCGCCGTCGCTTCTGCAGCCGTTCAGCCGGTTTCTGCTCGAACGCCGAACGCGCGTAATGTGCTCCACACGTCGTTCATTGGTAGGTAGCCTCCCTGCCAGGTGTTGCAAGAAAATGTTAACAATGATTTTAAACCTATTGACGATCGAGAACAGACTGTTTCGTTCAGTGATGGGATACGCACTCTTCAGCATCACATCATTCGGCGGGGCTCGTAATTTTATTTCTGATCGTTTTGTTCGCACAATATAACATATATATATATATATATTTATATTTCCGTTTTCTCGAAACGGATAAATATATAATATTATAAAGGTTGATCGACGATCGCTCTCTTCGGCAAAGTCCACACCGCGCACAGTTGTGCAGTGCGCATTGTGCGTAGTAGAGCCGAGTATTCAAAGAATTTTTTTCCATGCATCCGAACCCGCGCGGAGACGTGACTTGAGGCGACGCTAAAAATACCCATTACGCAAATTGGCCGCCGCTCCGACTTCAAAGCGAACGCTTTCGAATCGATAGGGACCGTAATCTCGGCGCTGAATCTGCGCGTTATCGACTAGAGCTCCCCCCCCCCAACGTCCCCTCTACCGCTCTACCTAACTTTAGATGAATTTTGTTTTGTATGAAATCGGACCGGCGCCGAACGACGACGGGTGAACGATATTTTATATTGTTGTCATCGCTCATCATCAATCGCAGCGTACCTACACTTGGCACATGTATAGCTAAAGGTATAAATCGATTGTTTTATTTCCCGGCGGTGTATCGTAAAATGTTTGTAAATATTTTTTATGACTGTTGTGTAGTTGTACTTTCGATTTATTGACGGACAATAAAATAAACGAGACGATGTTTTTTTTTTATATATATTACATATTACATATTATTTTAATTTAATAACTAAATTATACATTGTCTATTGTATTAAATATAATATATATGTATAAATTATATCATTACTATATAATTTTTTTAAATGTTGTCATTTATTTATATTTTATTAATTATTGCTCAACCGTTGATATATTATTACAGCCACTCAAACAATCACAAAAATGACATCAGAGGTCCAAACACAATATGTGTCGATTTTTTTGCTATTWTATCCTACAAATATATAACTATGCAATTATTATAAAAGGTAATATTATTCACACCACAAAAAATACTGCGAAAATATAATATATAGTAGGTATCATTTTGGAATAAAAATAGGTCACTGATTAATGTAGCTTTTTATGGGTTTATTAACCAATCAAAACTTACATATTATATTATATGTTTTTGAGTTAACTATATATGGTTCGTGAATATAACTTTTACAGTAGAAATGCGCCAAAATGATGACATTCAATTGTCTTCCCACAGCCGAAATCAAACGATTATAATTATGATTTATGACGAAATATTATTCTAGACATATCTCGACGATCGTCAAATTATAGGTATAGTGAAAGTTAATCATGTATATTTGTGATGTGTGCCTAGTCTGTGTAAATTATTATGATGTTGTTTACCATAATATGACATGCATAGATCACGTGTTTCTGTTCTAAAGGATCTAAACCGATTCGTGTTTGCGTAATATTATTATGATTTATTTTCGACTTTTCGAGAGAACGGACTATTTCGTGTGTCTAAAAAAAATGTTGAAATATACAAGATTATTGCATATTATATCAACCCATTCTCGATAAAATATTTGACAATAAAAACAAAAATGCAAGGGAGCTAGCTATTTTTCACGTTATACAAGAAGTGCATTTGATAATTTTKCTATACATCTTTACACGGCAATTTCGTATCTACAGATGATAACAATACTAGTCTGCAGTCGAGCGAATATTTTGGGAAATTCATTAAAAATGGAAATTTGCGTAATAAATTRGTTTCAAAATCGACGTTACATTATCAACTATAATTTGTATATATATATATGGATTGAACAATTTCATAAACACTTCAAACAATCACCAACATTTGTTAAAAAAAAGAAAAGAAAAGTAAATTGATTTATTCAATGAATTAGAGAAATATTTGTTTAAAATTGTATTTTTATAACACCTTCCGCCAAAAGCTTAGCGTACCGCTTTGAACTAAAAAAAAAACTGCTGTTCACTATTATAATATAGTCGGCTAGTGTTCGATAAATATACACTGCAGGCTGGCTCCCACGCGAGTTCTTATTGTGCACATTCTACCTACCTAGATATTTGCCGACCATTAAAATGTGTAGAAAATTTCGAGAGCATTATGAAGTGTATGCACCCACGTCATAGAAGACTATCACACATATTGTATGCTTGTATTGTATCGATACYATACATGTATGTATATTATTATTCGTACAATTTCACTCGTTATGCGATATAATATCATCAACATATATATTATGTATATAGTTGCCGGTTGTTTTGTCGAACGAACGGGCGGCGAAATTGTGTATAATAATATGTGACAATTTGCCAGGATTAATTTCCCTTCTCCTCGGTCGTCACACCGTCGAAGGCACACGTCAGGGCTCGATACGCCCATGTGAACAATAATAGCCGTATAATTGACTGGCGATGAGATTCCGATATAATAATATATAGAACGCGACGTAGTCGAAATCTCGTGTGGCGTCCGTTAGTCGTGTCGGAAGTGTACTGTTTTTCGCTGATGCTGAAGTCTGTTGCAGCTATAATAGCGCACGGCACAGGGAAGACCGAAATACTTTTTCATCATTCGTGTGTGTTCGATACAAACTATCATAATACCGCCGACTTCAGATGACTTTTTCAAATTGAGTATTATTTTCAATATGCCGTTCGGTTTTCAATAATCGAAATGTCAATCTTTTGCA